CTTGTCCTTTACGAGATCTAAGATTCCCATACATCATTTCAAATGGAGAGAAACCAGTGGAGGCTTGTCATACCTCCCAGATTGCAAACATTAGGGGGGGGGCTATCAATAGATGCCAACTCCGAGGGTTTTCCATCACTGACTTCCTTAACATACTTGTAAAAGTCTTATCTTTCCACTAGTCCATTGGTCTGAGGATGATAAACAGCAGTATGGACTGGTTTCACTCCCAGTAAGCACCACATTTCTTTGAAAGTCTGACTCATGAAGTTTATGCCTTGATCAGTCAGGACTTCTTTGGGGAAACCCAGCTGCGAAAACAGCTGCATCAGCTCCCTCACTAACACTTTGGCAGTGGTGGATCTCAATTGGATAACCTCTGAATAGCAAGTGGCATAGTCTATGATAAGTAAGATATGAGTGTGCCCCCCAGCTGACCGTAACAATGGTCCCACAATATCTATGCCAATCCTCTGAAAAGGCTGATCTACCAGGGGCAGGGGAATTAGATCCGTCCCTGGTCCTGGTTTAGCTTGTGTTTTTTTGTTACTCAGGACACATCAGACAGTAGTCTGTAATATCTTTATCCATCCTGGGCCACCAGAACCTTTGTTTTACCCGTGGTTTCATTTTTCCCTCTGACAAATGTCCAGCCATTGGGATGTTGTGTGCCAGTCTTAAAACCTTCTTCCTCCGCTTCTGTGGCACTGCCAGTTGTCGTCTCCCTTCCTCATTTACCCTTGCACATTTTCAAACCCTTCTGCCCTCTTACTATGGTTCCCACCTCCTGAACTCCTCGGAGATGCTCCTGTAGAGTAGGGTCGCCCTGCTGCCAACTCATGTCTGTTTGCATGATGTTTCCTGTAAAATATCGCTATCATCTTCAGTCTCTATTCAGTCCCCTTGCAAACTGTCCCTAGAGCCAAACACTGGGCAAGTCCCCACCCAGTCTTGACCTAGTAGCATCTCCCAAGATAATCCTGGCACCACCCCCACTTTCATCCGTCATGATTCTTCTCCCACTTTCACTTCCGCCCACGTTGTTTGATGTCTTAATGTCTCCATGTATGCCTTTCACCACTAATCCTTCCTCCCTCTTTTCCCCTTTCAAGTCCCATACCAAAGTCTTGACACATCCTGTATCTATCAAAGCTCATTTCTTTTCTCCATTCACCCATGCTTCTACCTCCCAACCTGTGCGTTCCAGCCTAGATTTATCTACTGTCTTTGGTTGTTGCCCTACCCAGGAACAATCGGTCCCTGGGCAGTCCCGTCTCATGTGTCCAAGTAATCCACAGTCGAAACACACAGGACGCCCGTCCTTGCCCTCCTTCAAACCAGTGCCTGGCTCAAACAAACAGTAGTCAAAGGTAATGGGCCACACTGGTTTCGGGGCCATTGTCCTGAAGGAGTGCCCCTGAGTCTTTGCTGTACCATTCCTCTCCAGCGTATGTCGCAAACTAATTCCTGGGCTTGGTGCCACTGCCTTCTCACGTGCTATTCCGCGCTCCCCCACAAGGCAGAGTTTTCTTTACTGACTCTTCTGCCATGCAATAATCTTCCAATAGGTGGAGTGCCTCCTCCAAAGTCTTCAGATTATTCTTCTGCACCCAACCCCTCACATTTATGCTTAAAGTATTGACTAGCTGCTCCATTATGATCACCTCCAGCAACTGCTCTTTGGTTCTTTCTTCAGGTTTCAGCCACCACGCCAGGTTGGCTCTCATTCTTTGGGCGAGTGTCCATGGATGTACTCCCGCCTTCATCTGCAGCTCTCTAAACCTCTTCCTATATGCTTCTTCTGTCAAGTTCAACATTTGCAAGATCGCTGCCTCATTGGGGCTCTAGACATCTATTACTTCTTGTAATAGCCTAGTCAAGCAAGGGATCAGGATCAGGGTCCACTGCTCCTTCAGCCACCCAGCCGCTACGGCCACACTCTCAAACATATGTAAATAAGCCTCCAGATCATATGTCAAACTCATTTTTTGTATTCTAATCGGAGCTGGTCCTGCTACCAGTCCACCCCTATTCCAGCCGCAATTCTTTTGTCATATATCCTCCTCCGCTTCTTGTTTCATAATCCTCTTCGTCAGTAATGTCAGTAATGTCTGTTGCTTGGCCAAATTCTCTATCAATTTCTCTCAATGGTTCTTTGAAGTTTCAAAATTTCTTCCTATCCCACCTGAGGGACCGCCCCACGTTGGCTGCCACTGTGATCAGGTTCTTCAAAAATTTGTGACAGTTCCCTCATTTTTGGCAGGAATAAGAGACAGAGATGATTTTGAAAGTCCAACTGGCTCAACTTTATTAACATCAACTTCTGAATTAACCAAATGAAACAGATCACAACAGCTCAATTCTGGAATCATCTTGTAACTTCGGATCTTAGCTCCTGATGTAAATATGTCACTTCTTACATTGGGGCTGGACTAAAGTGTTCGCGATCAGTTATCACCCTCAAGGGGGTGCTCCTTACTGCACATACCATCCCACAACAAGGGTGTCTCACCCAATCCCCTTTGAGAGGTGGATTGCTGTAAGAGGGACTGGGACGGATCACTTTCCTCCCCCCACCTTGGTTGCAGGGGTAAACCACCACCGTCCATTCTAGTGGTTTTACCTCCTTCTCTTCATTTCTAGGTAATCTTGGATCTGGGAGTAATCCTCTTCCTGTCTTAAAGTTGGGAAAATCTTTCAGTAAGTCACAGACCTTGTCAGATGTCTCATCATGCCTTTCTGTTTGTACCGCACTATGTTTGGTGCTTCTCTCTGTCTTGTCTGTTTCCACCCTAAATTTCTGCACGTCACCCCACTCTTTTATAACCTACTCCCACACTATCAGATCTTGCTCCTCCCCCTGGTCCTCCTCCTTATCGTCTGCCAAGAACACTTCTACCGCTTTCCTTTCCTTCACTCCTTCCTCTTCTATTTCTATTAGCACACCCTCTGCGCATCCACACACCTCTTCCTGTCCATTCTTTGTTGAGGATGGCTCACTAGCATCCTGTCCTTCACAGCAAGTTAGTTCAAGTCTAATTCATTAATTGTGAACCCTCATTGTGTAGAATACTGATGTTCAAATACAGGGGAAATCATCACATGAATATTTAGGTTACAACTTGACACTGAAAACATATTTTTGTAGGGTTTTTGAACACATTTACTTGGGACTAAGTCGCACTAGATTTGTTAATAGTAAATAAACTATCAGGCAGTTCTTTGCCCTTTCATGAAACTCCAGGTTAGTTTTCTGAGGGGGGCACTTCAGTCTATCTAACAGTGCAGCCAGCCTTTGGCTTACTTTAATGCAGAGGGTAATGTACCAACTGCCTGGGATAGACCTTTTGATCATCCCCTCTACAAATTTATCTAGATAAATAAAACATTATAAAAGTAAATGTAAAGGTTCCCCTTGACATTTAGTCCAGTCGTGTCCGCCTCCAGGGCGCAGTGCTCATCCCCGTCTCCAAGCCGTCGAGCCAGCGTTTGTCCGTAGACAGTTTCTGTTGTCACGTGGCCAGCACGACTGGACATGGAATGCCATTCCTTTCCCACCGTGGTGGTACCTATTTATCTACTCACATTTGCATGCTTTCAAACTGCTAGGTTGGCAGGAGCTGGGACAAGCGACAGGAGCTCACTCCGTCACGTGGATTCGGTCTTACAACTGCTGGTCTTCTGACCTTGCAGCACAGAGGCTTCTGTGGTTTAACCCGCAGCGCCACCACATCCCACATAAAACATCATAACGCATGGCAATTTTCCCATTTGAGAAAACAAATTCTTAAGATGAACTTAGATCCCATTTGAATGGATGAGAAGGGAGAGCACTTCTGCCTTTATAATAAAGTGGACACCTTAAAAAACATGGCAGTTGGAAAGAGCAGGGATGAGTTATGTCTTAGATTGGTTGGCCAATTTTATCTCCGATCACCATCCAATCTGCTCCCAGTGTAAATGTGCAAATGTTTGTATATCTGGCAATGCTCGTGTGTACAGATTTCATGTGGTGGAAGGGGCTGTTAAGGTTGAATGTCAGGAACTGAAGAATTTTACATACATAAGGGCACATAAGAGGAAGCTGAAGCCTCTGTGCTGCAAGGTCAGAAGACCTGCAGTCGTAGGATCGAATCCACAGATGGAGTGAGCCCCCATCCCTTGTCCCAGCTCCCTCCAACCTAGCAGTTTGAAAGTATGCAAAATACAAAAATGTGAGTAGATAAATAGGTACCACCCTGGTGGGAAGGTAAACAGCATTCCATGTCTAGTCACACAGGCCACATGACCACAGAGGATTGTCTGCGGAAAAAAATGCTAGCTCTATGGGTTGGAAATGGAGATGAGCACCGCCACCTAGTGTCGGACATGACTGGACAAATTGTCAAGGGGAACCTTTACCTTTAAGCATGCAACACCTCACTGAATTAATATATTTTTTGCTTCACATTAACTGATTTGAAAGCTTCATTGAGTTTTTTGTAACAGAAAGTCACCCACGAAATTACTAGCAATATAGCATAATGGATGAGAGACTGAGCTATGGAACAGGAAGTTGAGGGTCCTTTTTGTGCTTCTAGACAAGGAACCAGTGGTTGAAATGCTGTTGCCATGGCTTGTTTCATGCAAGGCTGGTGGTGGCAGCAGCAGTGGGGATCTTTCGGATATTAAACATTTCTGACAACTCCGAGAGGTCCTGAGGCTCCCATGAAATCCTTTATTTGCTGGGATCCAGGACAGGAGAAGGAAAGCCTTTCATTACCAAAAATTGCTGCCATCAATATAGTCATCCTGCCAGCAGTGATTTTTGGTAATGAAATACTTCCTTCTCCCATTTGGTGGCCCTCACAAATTTTAGAGACAGACTGTGTTTACTGGAAGGGGGAACAAATTGTTACATGTATTTTAAATTAAATTGAATGGGATGTAACTTGACTGTAAGACTTTTATTAAGTGATGCTAACTCTTCCATTTTTGTTTCTCTTCCTCTCTCTCGGCAGGTCTGTGACGGAGGATTAGACAATATCAGTGGAGTCATGCTTCACACAGCCATATCATGCTGGCAGCCATTTCTAAGTCTGGCTGTGCTGCTAATTTTCATGGGCTCCACCATAGGCTGCCCAGCCCGCTGTGAGTGTTCAGCACAGAACAAGTCTGTCAGCTGTCACCGGAGGCGCCTGATTGCCATCCCTGAGGGCATCCCCATAGAGACAAAAATCCTGGATCTTAGCAAGAACAGACTGAAAAGTGTCAACCCAGAGGAGTTCACAGCTTTCCCGTTGCTTGAGGAGATAGATCTCAGTGACAATATCATTGCCAATGTCGAGCCTGGAGCCTTTAACAATCTGTTTAACTTGCGTTCCTTGCGACTGAAAGGGAACCGTCTCAAGTTGGTCCCTCTAGGGGTCTTCACTGGACTGACAAACTTAACCAAGCTAGATATCAGCGAGAACAAGATTGTCATTCTTCTGGACTACATGTTCCAGGATCTGCACAACCTCAAGTCCCTTGAGGTTGGGGATAATGATCTGGTTTACATATCCCACAGGGCCTTTAGCGGACTGCTTAGCTTGGAGCAGCTCACTCTGGAAAAATGCAACTTAACAGCTGTACCAACAGAAGCCCTTTCCCACCTTCACAACCTCATCAGCTTGCACCTGAGACATCTCAACATTAACCTTTTGCCTGCGTATGCCTTTAAGAGATTGTTCCACCTGAAAAACCTAGAAATTGACTACTGGCCTATGCTGGACATGATTCCTGCCAACAGCCTGTATGGCTTGAACCTCACTTCCCTCTCCATCACCAATGCTAACTTGTCCACCATACCTTATTCTGCTCTGAAGCACCTGGTGTACCTGACACACCTGAACCTCTCCTACAATCCCATCAGCACCATTGAGTCAGGCATGCTGGCAGATGTGTTGCGCCTGCAGGAGCTTCACATGGTTGGGGCCCAGCTGCGTACAATTGAGCCCCACGCTTTTCAAGGACTTCGATTCCTCCGTGTGCTAAACGTGTCCCAAAATCTGTTAGAGACCATCGAGGAGAACGCATTCTATTCTACCAAAGCCTTGGAAGTCCTTTGCATCAGCAACAATCCATTAGCTTGTGACTGCCGCTTGCTTTGGATATTACAACGGCAGCCCACGCTACAATTTGGTGGTCAGCAGCCAATGTGTGCTGGCCCAGACAGTGTCAAAGAAAGGCCATTCAAAGACTTCCACAGCACTGCCCTTTCTTTCTACTTCACTTGCAAGAAGCCCAGGATCCGCGACAAGAAGCTACAGTACTTGGTGGTTGAAGAGGGGCAGACTGTACAGTTGCTCTGCAGCGCTGATGGTGACCCACAACCAACCATCGCTTGGCTGACACCACGACGAAGGCTGGTCACAGCAAAATCCAATGGAAGAGCGACCGTCCTGGGGGATGGCACACTGGAGATCCGCTTTGCCCAGGATCAAGACAGTGGGCTCTATGTTTGTGTTGCCAGCAATGCTGCTGGGAATGACACCATGTCAGCCACCCTCACTGTCAAAAGGTTTCCACCAGATCGTTTCCTTTATGCTAACAGGACTCCTATGTATATGACGGATTCCAATGACACCAGTTCCAATGGGACCAATGTGAATACATTCTCCTTGGACCTTAAGACAATACTGGTGTCGACAGCCATGGGCTGCTTCACATTCCTTGGGGTGGTTTTATTTTGTTTCTTACTACTTTTTGTCTGGAGCCGAGGGAAAGGCAAGCATAAAACCAGCATTGACCTAGAGTACGTCCCTCGTAAAAACAATGGTGCGGTGGTGGAAGGGGAAGTTCCAGGACCACGCAGGTTCAATATGAAAATGATTTGATGGTTGTGCTGCTAGCATTAATTATTTCTCTCCCTTCTTTCCCTCCTGTGGCATTTTAACCAATTCAACAAGCTTGGCATGTAGGGATTGCCAGGCTGGGGGCAGCTTCACTTAGGCTGTCATGGTGTCAAAACGGTACACAGAAATCAGAAAAGACAACTATCTGAGGTTGTACATCTGAGCCTCGTGGTTTGAGGCTGTGTGTGTGTTAGGGCTTTTTGCAGAGTTGGCATACAGTACTAATTGTTTGCATTGCAAATTTTTTGGCATTCTGGGGATCTCAGTAACGAACTATCGGTTCATGCTCACAGATAATTGTTCAAAACATTTTCTACCACTAGAGAAAAAAAACAAAGAAAAGAAAAAAAAAGAAAAAACCTACAGTGTAGGGATTTCATATTTACAGAAAGAGACATTTGTCTACAACATACACTACAATGAAAATTGTATCTATAGCTCTCATTTGCTAAAGCCTTGCATCCTACATTCCTTCTAGTTGGTTCAGCATCACAAGATTAGTATGTTGATTTTATTTTTTTAAATATACATATTTACTGTGTACATTTTAAAGCAATACAAATGAGAGGTTTTGTTTTTTACGCGGTAACTGACCCTGATGTGATGTAACTCTTCCCGTAAGTACAGCCAACTTCCTAAATCAGACCTCTGTAGTCACCAGTAAACGGTATTGTCTGGTGTCAATCCTCATGTGAAAGACCAGAGAAGAACTATTAAAGTAGGCAGAATTTCTCCATGCCCTGTTACACTTTTCTTCATTTGAAGAAATGGCGTGTGCCTAATTTTGATTTTTAAAAGTCTGTGATATCCCACTGGACCAGTCTATTGTGATAGAGTCCATGGTTCCGCTTTCTCATCACTGTTGACATATAAGCTGGCAACACTTACATTTGGAGGACCGTCCCTCGTCCTCTTCCCATATTCTTCTCTTTTAATTTCTGAACCATTGTTAAGAGGTTAATGTGTACCGGGGATAAAGAACCAGAAAAATAAATTCTGCCATATACTTAGAGAAATGCTATCAGCATTGTATTTATAGAAACAAATGAAAATAGATTTAAAAAATCAGCGTAGAGGAATAAGCTCCTCCCTGATGCCAATAAACCAGACTTAGCCATGCATTATGAAAGGAGATGCCACTCAACAGAACCTTCCATACTTGATAGCTTCCAAAAAGCCGAAGTACTGCCAAACTACAAGCCAGAGCCAGTTTTGTATCCATAGATAATGCAGGCTGGTAGCTAACTGATTCCATTGTTGCTAGTTTTTCCTCACATAAATGACCCTGACAGATGATCCTGTGGAGAAAAAGGCATAGTGGTACCATACCAGATTCCAATATTCTATATATATATAAGAGTTGTTAGTAGCAAAATAAGAAATTTGCAGGTGTCTGCTCTTAAATAAGAGTGATAGTGACTGAGTGAGAGAATGTGTGCACGTGTAGAATCCTATTGGTTGTTTATAGTGGTGTTAAGTGCAAACTGCTGCTGATTAACAAGTTGCCCCTTATAGTCCTCATTGTGCGTCAAGTAAAACCACAAGGAGTATAAGCAGCAGTTCATTAGCTAGCAGCATTTAGTCATTTTGATTTACACCACTGTATTTACACCAGTGTTCACAACCAATAGTATTCTGGCCATATGTATATATGTGAGTGTATATACATATATACAGATATGCACACACATGGGAGAACTGACCCTAGGTATTAAATAATTTGTTATTGATGTTTCACCTACACCTCACCTTAAGTGTATAATATATATACAATCCAGAACAAAAAGGCATCTTTTTAAAGAAAAGAATTTAGGCCTTTGGCATAAACATCTAGTTTGTAGTCCAAGTTCATTGTTTATAAGCAGTAGTATGAAACCAGTGCAAATGGATGCTCCTGAAGAAGAATCACATTTGGTCCAAAAATGATATTGAGGAAGAGTGCTGAGTACACTATTTCAGAATGGCCCACCAGACAGAGGAGGGTACTGCATCCGCTGGTGATATTCTATGGGAATCCTATGCAGGAGGTTCTCTGATCACAACGCCTTTAGAGAGTACTGGAGCCATTTTGGAATCTAGTGTGAAGCAAAGAGCAGACAGATGTGCTCTATGTTCATGGTATTTTCTTCCCAGAACCCAGGGTGGGGAGGAGAAATATTGATCATGCAAAGGAAACAGGAAGAAGGCAGGGAGGGAGTTTCTGTGTTGACTAACTCTTAGAAAGGTAAAATCTAATATTTGTGAATGTCTGTGATTTAACAATTGTTACAATTCATGACTGCTTTAACTGTTTTGTTGTCATTTTAGTACTTCTATTGCCTAGCCTTTCCCAAGTATAAAAACTAATACACAGAGGGTAGGAAGATTGGGAATAATGTATGTGACAGAATCCCTGGGCTGATTGATGGATGGATTTGCTTTCTTGCTTGCTAGCTAGATAGCTAGCTTTATTTCTTTATTGTGCTATGTGTTATTCTTCCCCTCAAGATCATGAAAAAAAAGGATTTGAGAGCTGGACTGTGGTGGCAAGATAGTGTAATGTAGAAATGACAAAAACTGAAGCAATATGTTCCCAACACTCCCGGTGACATTACCTATATAGTATGTTCCTTTAGAATTTGGCTGAGATCTATGTGATTCTTTGAAACTAAGATGAATAAGTAGCGAGTGAGCAATTTGTTATGAATGTTTGTGAGGGGGTGTGCGCATGTGTATGTGTTAGCTATCTGTCAGTTATGGATTATTTGAAAGCCATGAATAGGATTTTACAGAGACATGTATTCAGATTCTATATCTGACCTTTCTGTCATTTTAACAAACATGGAAATCATATTGCTTATGGCTGAGATTTCAAAGCAGTTTTAAAGGATTTTAATGCATTTTCCACTCACCTCCAACATCTAACAACATTTAGCAACATTTGTTTTGCTCTTGGATCAATGTGTATATGCTTGTACAATCAGGATTATGTTATTTTCAGCACGGTTGCATTCACATAACTTTTCATGCATCTCATACAAAACATATTTATGATTGCACACCATGTCTAGTGACACATTCTTATGATGTGATTTGCATACACCTGTATTTCATATCGCATCACTTTAGTAACTCTGGAACAGGAAAATCATAGGAGGAATTATGGCCTTTCTCATGCCACTACACTGACCGTACGATGCCAGAGTACCATGAGAAACAACCATGAAATGCAATAGGCACGAGGCAATTTCTGTGAAGAACTAGTTACTAAGTCAAATCCACAATTGTGATAGCAGCTCTGAAGCTGTCTCTGCAGCTTCTTTTCACACTGTCCCGAAATAATCCGGATAATATCACATGGAGCCTGTTTAATGAGTTTTGCACATCTCCTCAGGTAATAAGGAGGATGATAGTGGGAAAGAGCCATGTAATGGGCCCACAGAAAGTGAGCTCATATAGACACCCTTAGGGGGGGGAAAAAAACCTTGGATCCACAGTGTAGCACCCCCAGACATCTGACCTGACAAAATAGTATGAAAATAATATTCTCTTATAGTTCTGTTCTTTGGGGATGACTGGCCTCTTAAGCATAATTTGGTCCCTCAAATCCTGCACTTAAAATGCCTTGCTAACTAACTGCCTTTTTAACAGGCATTGTAGAAAATGCTTTTTAAGGTCTGAAACAGGCCATTAAAAGTGAAGTTATACTTAAAAGCCACATTGTATGCCAGAAGCTTGTAGAGTGGCATGACTTGCAATACTGGAACACACAAACACACACTCACAAAAAATATTTGGGGAATGTAGTGATGTTGGAGATGGAGTAGCTCTCTAAAGTCTGGGGGTGAGGGAAATATCTCAGAGGTCATTTGAAGTTTCTCATTTCTGACCAATGTATATGGTTCTGAGTTGTTTGAGAAGAAATTCATTCTTTGTGCTCCCTCAGACGACCCTCAAACCCACTTCACAGTCAGATACAGGGTACTCAAAGCCAACTAAGTTATTTAGCTATTTGAGCCAGAATGCCCTACATGCTTTATTCAGGATTGGCCATTGCTCTTTTAGACTCTGACTTTTCAGTTATGCCCCAGACTACAGATGTCTGAGGGAACTGAAGAATCAGAACAACAGACCAGTGTTAAGTTTTTGTTGATTTCTCTGTGCTAAATCCAAAATTAGTCCCACATAGGCTAGACAAACTGAAAGGGATGTTAATCAAATAAATACACATTCAATTGATTTCAACGAGTCTGCTCTAGTTTGGACTAACACTGGATTTTGAATTATGTATGCTGATACATTTCAAGTATCTGTATCCTCCAAGAGTGAGTAGAGAATTTTAGAGGTTTGCTTTGTGAGTACTGTTTTTTGTTACCAATGATCTTAAGTAATTTGTCACATTTGTAAGGTGTTTTTGACTTTTATTAATGCTAGCTGACCCCAAAACAAACCAAAGAAACTAAAAGAATTATAGGTTGTCTCTGAGAACTACATGGCAAGCTTTCTGTAACTTTGTTGTGCTTTCATATAGGTAAAAGAACTAAATCAAACCAAGGTAGTTGCCATTATTCATGAACATTCTATTTAAAAAACAAATACAATGCATTTATTTATGAAGTAGGGAAGACTTTCTGTTTTGATGCCATTTCTATCTGAATTCTGATTAAAAGAATCTGGCTCATATCCAGATGGAAAATATATTTTCTCTAATGAATGAAGAGCTGTATAAACAAAAAATTAATGTCACACATATTGTTTTGAAGCTTAATTATTAATTGCTGAACCCGGCAAAAGCAAGTCACTGTGAAATGAGTAATGTCTTTTTGCGCTGTATGGGTATATCATTTGTGTTACAAGACAGAATGAAATGTAACCCTCAGACTGCCAAAAATTATACATAGTGATTAATTGCTCTTTTTTAAGAATAATGCTTTACTCTTTGCCTGCTCCGGTGTATTCTATAGCTCTCCTAGCTCTCCATTTTTATCCCTTGTTTAATTTTTGTTTGTTCAGAAATCTACTCCTGTTCCTGTTCTTCTCAAATGGAAAAAAAAAATCAAGAATTTAGAATAGTCAGTCAATGACACAGGTAAGCTTATTTCCCCAAAAGACTGGAAGTATAAAATACATTCCTGACACGTCAAATGTATCTCCACTTGTTAGCTGTTTGGACCTCCAAAATTACAATAAATAATTGCATCTACTTTGATTTGAAAGTGGAAAACCTGTTGGCGCAGCTCTACAAGCACAAGGCTGCTAACATCATCAGCCACATCTTTTTATTGCTGAATAAAAGTTTCTGTCCATACCCACCCCAGTTCTGAGGCTCCCTAGGGATCCCTTTTGTCCTTGAGAAGCTTTTGGGGGCCCTGAAAACTGGGGAGAGAGCAATCAGAAACTTTTACTGTAAAAGGCTGTGGCTGATGACATAATCAACCTTGCACATGCAGAGGTGCATTAACAAGATTTCAGCCATACTGTGTTTTGTTTCAAACAGTGCATGAGCAACGGCATATGAAGTGGAGTTATCCAGCTTCAGGAAAATTGTTTCTGCTTGCACCACCCTTGAAAGTCTTCACAATCCTACAAATTATAAAGAAGAGCATGCAACTAAATGTGATATCAAAGATATTTGGATCAGGAACACCTGTTTTCAATTAATAAGAGTGATGGAATGGCCCAAAGTGGAAACTGAGACAATGATACCGGGAAAGATATTTAACTCATTCCCCAAAGACTGTTTTCCTGATTAACATACCTCCTTTTTTAAAAATAAACATTTTATTTGCTGTACAGGAGAAATTCATATGCATGATATATCTTCTTAACTGAACAAACAGCTATTTGGAGTATATGTCTTTCAACAGGGAGAGAAAAAATTATGCAAAGAAAAGGGTTCCACTTCTTCAATTTGCCTCAGGTGTACAGGTTGCTAGAGCTGGTCTTTAAAAAAAAATATCAGGGCATTTTAACGGTGAATATTTCGGACTACATCCAGTCTGGCTTTTGACTTGCTTCCTTCCCCGTTATCTTAATAAACACAGGATATTGTAACTGGCATTATGGAGACCAACTCATGCTTTTCAAGTCTGTGACTTCTTTCAGATCATGCACTGTATCTGTTGAGGAAGACTAAATCAGGGTTCTGCCAAACGTGAACAAGGTACTAAGTATTCCAGTAATCATATGGTTCTTTTGCCTATTACTGTATTTCAAATACTGCCCACCTAGTCTGGCACTGAATCTACCCTAATCATACATTCAGTGTCACAAACTTAATCTAACCCCTCTCTGTGATGAAAATATACCAGCTTAAGCAAGCCAGAAATTATACAAGTCGTGATTGATTGTGTAGCAAGGTTAAAGACTGGATAAACACTGTTGGGAATAGTACATGTTAATGATAGCAGAATTAATTATATGGCTGCTTACTGAAGAAGATAGAGGATGTTTCAAAGTCACCTTGGCAATTTGGATATCATCTAGCCCTTAATTTTAAGCAAAATGGAACATTTTGTGTGTTTTTAACTACAAGAAATAGAACTGGATTTCTTTCTCAAACCCTTTTTTTGTTTCCCTTCCAACTCTTTGAGTTCCTGTTTTACTATCACGTAATTATGCTTGATTTCGTCTGGAGATTTTCATTGGCCTTCATAATATAGACGCACAGTAGTGTGTATGTGTGTACTGAATCTCCATCTTTACTGTAAATATATTAGCTGGAATCCTGTTCATATTTGTGTAAAATTTGTGTAACCTGCCACAGCTAACTGATGAGAAGCAGGGACACATCTTATTTGCCTATCTAGGCACATGACCAACAGATGCCACTTGCTCCTTGTCAGTTAGCAACAATTAGGTGTGTCCATTTATGTAAACTTTATGCAAAGACTAATAGGATTCACCATCTAGAAAAATGAAAGAAAACTGAAACCCTCAGGCTTGGAAACACTACTGAAGAACTGGGAGCACTAGCATTGTTATTTTAAAAATTATTTTGGCCAACGGGAAACTCCTACTTGCAAAGTATGTGGCTTTCCACTGAAGTATGGTGCCTCCCATGAACCACAATCCATATTGGGAGTTTGTGAATCCTCTGTATGGGAGAGCCAAGATTCTCATACTGAATTACATCAGTGGTTGGTGAGATTTGCCCCTGCTGTAAAATAGGACCCTTCCTTCCTATCTTTCCATTTTGGAAGACACTCTTGTCTCCCAACCTGTCAGGTTCTGTGGTACAGGATATCTTATAGTTTCCATAGCTGCTACTGTATTTGAGCAGCACTTATAGTGATGACAAGCTGAGCAGCAACCACAGTTTTTCAGCAGTGACTCAGTGGGTTGAGAGGATCCGATGTACAGTGGTGCCTCACAAGACGAACACCTCATGGGACGGAAAACCCGCAAGATGGATAGTTTTTGCAATCGCTGTGGTACCTCGCAAGCCAGCTTCTTCTATGGCCATGCGTCACAAGACGATTTCCCCCCCAAGACTGATGCCTCGCAAGACGGAAATAATTCATTTGTCTTGCAATGTTCCTTTAGGGAAACGGCAAGGTTTCCTAAGAGAAACCGCTTTTCGCAAGATGAAAATTTTGCAAGACAGTGGTACTCGCGGAACGAATTACTTTCATCTTGCGAGGCACCACTGTACTGTGAATTATATGAAAAAGCATAGAGCACAGGAAAAGTAAGGCAATTCCATTACCTTCCCAGTACCCATAACATCAAAAGCCATTGTCAAATGGATAATCTGAATTTATTTTAGTCTGGTCCCTAGGATGGTTTTCTGAATTAGGAATGGAAAGATCATGGTACAGCACTGTGATTATTCACAGACCCTTTTGTTACAGTTCACCAGTGGTTTCATGCCCCTTTTTGCTTGTGAACCTAATGTTCTGTGAAAAAGAAAAGTTCATATGTATGCTGGAAATAAATCATGCACAAAGAGCTGTGTATTATTAACTTCTCCTTTCATGAAATAAAAGCCCTGTAGGTATACACTCTGGATCCTGGCCACTTGAATATAGAGCCAATTCACTGACCCATCTCTCCATCTGTAAAATGGCACTAACAGTACTCTTCCACATAGGCCAGCGAAGTAGAAAGTAGTAAACAGGGAGGTACAGATTCATGCTTGCTTAGCCTGTGATAGAAATAATGTATACACATCGTAGACTGTATAGCCTTTTCCAAGATTTCTTTAAATTACATGAAAACACCATGAGAAATGTTAGTGCATCCTTTGTTCCTGAAAGAATTCCTTGTTCACTAATAATATTTTAGAATACCACATCAAGATCCACTTTGTCCAGAAGAAAACACATTCTTCAAGGCAGGGGGGAGGACACATTGTCTTGACAATGTTGATGCAAGCAAAAGGTTTGGTGAGGCTTCGCTGTTTAAAAAAAAGAACCTGTTGATTATTGCACACCTCTTCTTGCTTTTCAGAAAATCACTCTAGCTTTTAATGATTTTGGATTCTCCCTCAACTCCATTCCACCCAACCTTCTTTACATATATCACAAGCAGTTGCTGTGATAAAATGCCCGTCTATAATAGCAATCTCCCTTGCTTGCTTGTGCACCCCCTGCATGTTTTTGTTTTGTTTTGTTTTCAGTCATCCAAAGCGAATGAAAAACAGCCCTTGGCAGAGAAAATGTGTTCCACTGCTTTATGATTATTTCAAGGAAGCCTTCTTCATGATATGCATAGCAGCCTGGAAGGGACAAAGCAAACAACAGTCTTGATCTCAGAAGTAGCTTTTGTCTCTTTATTCCAATCAGCATGGAATAAATAAATGAAGATGTGCAGGGAAAAATGGAAGATCGAGATTATTTCTAATGCATGAGGAATAACAGTACAGTAATCAAAAAATGGTCCTACATTTCTACAATTGATATGCTTAATACAACAGACCCATTCCTTCCATAGCTAAAGGCTAATCTTTCAAAAGCTATACATGGTTATTTACTTTCCTTGATCATCTTCCATATCCTTCATTCTGATGTTCCTATTGTTTCTGTGACATGATTTCTATCACTTGCTTTAAAGAAAAGAAGAAGTAGAAGAAGGAAAGGAAAGGAAAAAAAAGGAAAGTTGGGGGGGGGGGATACCAGGGGGAAAAGGACCAAAAACCCTCTCAGCCTGACAAGGTTTATACAAGTCTGTCGAGTGTAGACCTATCTAACCAAAACTTCAAACTTCGCATCTACCAGTTGAAACATTCTTTCTGCCTTGACTAATAATCATGTATGTTGTCTTGTTTTAATCCTTTATTTTTATTAATTTTTTTACTACTGTTATTATCATTGTTTTAGTTTTACTGCACTTGCAAAGGTTTATCCTGAAAGGAATTTCCTAATCTTTTAAATGGATGAATAATTTTCCGACAGACAGACAGACAGACAGACAGACAGACAGACAGACAGACAGACTAGCCTGAGAAAGCAGTGCTAATACGAAGTTCAGTTTCCAGATATCTGAAGAAGAGGAGACTGCTATACGGTAATTCTTTTTAACAATGAGTAAGAACTAGAAAAGAATTCATAAACATGTTTATGCCAGTAGCATTTAGGCAGTATGATACACATACTGGCTGAGCATTCTGGGAACATATAGGAAATCCTTATCTCCATTTCAAAGGGTTTTGTTGTATATGAATATTTATGCCAAGAAGCCAAAATTTTCAAAGATGCAGTATGTTGCTATAACATATGTTGTAAGCAGTTGCACATTTAAACTCTACCTACAACAACTTGTAGATCTCATATATATATATATATTTGTGTAAAAAACAGTCTGAGAATTTTAATATTTATTTTAATTGTAAAGAAAAATTGATAGAAGTTTACATATAGGAAAGAAATCATGTATTTTATTATTAAAATGAATTTTAGTGAATTTCATTTTTAGATGGAGAATGAGCAGTCCTATTGATTTAAATATAAATGGAGACTATAAACTGATTATGATCAGTATTTACTTTTTTTGTTTACATACAACCTAAAATGTCTTGAGTATAGTGTAGCGTACCCTTCGAAGATGAAACTGAAGCAAATGCTCAACCCTGCTGGGGAGCCATCAAATTATAGTCACATCCAGCAACAGGTCTCACCAAAATTATTTTTTTATAACTACTGCTCCCAAAACCTATAAGGCAGCATATCCATAACATAACTTTGTTCACAGCATTCCCATAATCTATTAGACTGAAAATTCTGTAACACCCAAATGACATAATATTGGTCTTCTATTATTTATTATTCTCTCTTTACGAAGCTACATTGACTGTGAATAACCAACACAATTTTCTATACGTTCACAGATTGACATCTAAATACTCTGTTCAATAATTTTGGCCTGTATTACTGTCACCCTTACTGCTGGCTGGTTCACTGGATAAAACCTTTTCAGCTTCATGAAAATGGGGCATTTGCTCAATTCCATTTTGTTTGGCATTTCTTCTCTTTTCTAGAAATTCTCAAAGCAGTACTGTCAGTGGCTCTGGAGTACAACATCTGTAGGTTCCTGTAGCACCTGAATTTGTAATTCATCTGGTTCTTGAAATTTAAATTCAGCTCAGCTGGCTAGGTGCTTTTCAGTCTTTTCTCTTGTCTTTATGTCATCTGGACCTGCAAATCTCTTGATCTTCTAGTCCTAAACTGAGGACAGCTCCCCCCACTTAAGAGAGAAGACCAAGGAACAAGAGGAGCTAAGTAGTTTTGTCTTTTTCCCATTACACCTCAGAGATTCTGATGCATAGTAGGAGACATGAATATTGGTTTTGTAGCATGTGCTGGCTGGATAGCTCAGTTGAATTAGGTATCTATATATATATATGATTTTTTCATGAAAACCCTAGTATGTATACATACATACATACATACATATGTGTGTATATATGTGTGTGTGTGTGTATTTATAGACACACACACACACACACACAGAGAGAGGGAGAGAGAGAGAGAGCATACTTTTAAAAAACATTTTATTAGTTTCTCAATCTATCTACATTCATTTCCTGCTTGTTAAACATAGTCTTACATCATGTTACATGGTTTGCTTATAATTATTTGTTTTTTGCGTCTTCGTGTCCTCTTGGTTGTCCCTTCAAAATCTATACATTTCTTAAATGTTTAAACCATTCATATGTGTATTTTAGTATACAATATTGGCTCATCATCATAGGCATCCTTCAGTCTTGAGAGACTATGGTATCATGCTCTGCATGGAGGACTTGGAACAGTGTAAAGTGTGGCTGAGAAGGCCAATTCGAGAGTGATGATCCCTTCCACATTGAGGACAAATACAATCTGTACCCTGTCTAGCTCCCTGATTTTGCTGTTTTCATGACTGCCTCTTTGCCTCAGCCTGCTGGGTGAGAGCCTCTTCAAATTGGGAGAGGCCATGATGCACCACATGCCTCTAGGCTGAGTGCTCAGATGTCAGGGTTTCCCATCTGTTGAGGTCCATTCCTAAGGCCTTCAGATCCCGCTTGCAGATATCCTTGTATCGCAGCTATGTTCTCCCTTCGGGGTGATTTCCCTGCACTAATTCTCCATACAGGAGATCCTTTGGAATCCAACCTTCAGCCATTCCTACAACATGCCTGAGCCAACGGAGACGTCGCTGTTTCAGTAATGTATACATGCCGAAAATTCCAGCTCGATCTAGGACTACTCTATTTGGAACTTTGTCCTGCCAGGTAATACCAAAAATGCGCATATGGAACGTAATTCCATTTCCAAATTTATATAATTTTGAGGTGATTTAACCGGCAAACTTTGTACTTTATACCAATAATTACTGAATAGGTTCCTAACACATAATAGATGTTATCTAAAGCATTTTATACAGCTTTTCTTTATATAATTGTTTAGCCATTTCTATCTCCATGTTTTCTATCATGTCTATATCAATAACATATGTAATGTATGTTCGTTGTACTATTTGTTTTACATCATCCTTATATCTATCTTCAATTTACCTTAAGAACCACCGTGTTATGCCTTTACCTTATTCAGTTTAATTCCCTTTTCTAATATATAAGATATGCCAGGCCCCCTTGCAGTTCCAGAAGTTAGGCACATACATTCCTTCTTTTATTTGTCTTTTCCCAATTCTTGTTTCTATCTCTCTAAAAATTCTGCCA